AGCGACCCCTGACAGTGTTTTTTTTTTTGTTTACTTTTTTATTCTCTTTCTCTCTTATTTTGTTTGTTTGTTCTCTTGTTTCTCTCTTTCTCTCTCTGCCTTTTCACTTAACTTTCATTTCTTTTTCTCATTCAGTTCTATTTCTTTAAGCGTTATTTTCTTGTACATTTTTTTCACTCCCTGTCTTTTGCCCATTTCTTCCCCCCCACATGTTAGCCTATTATTTTTTCTTTCTTTTTAGTAGAGAGAGAGAGAGACTGTGTGTGTGTATTACAAGTAAAATAGAAAGGTAAAAAATCTTTATCATTCTTTACTTGTGCCACTTCCCACTCTGTCTCTTTAATTACCCTTTCTTTTAATGCCCTTATTTTTCTCTCACTTTACTTTTCTTTCTAACCCAACCTTGTCCTCCTCTCTTTCTTCCAGATCTGGATAATTTAAAAGAAGATGTCAGGTGTGTGTGTGGTCAAAACCTGCTTGATTATACCCCTCCCCACTCAACGCTGCTGCTTTGTCAAGTTGCATCAAACAAGCCATCCCATCTTCCTTTTATTATACACCATGTTCTTTCTCTCTCTCTCTCTCTCTCTCTCTTCATCTACCCATATAACTTTATAGTGTGAATTAGGGGAGAAAAAAATGATAAGGAGGTGTAAAAGGGTGGGAACAGGAAGTGGGATTATAAAGGGTGGTGGATTGGAGAGAAAAGGGGATGCAAAAGGCTACTGGATAAAAAAGTGGAGGCTGGGAGCTTGGCAAAGTGCTGATGGTAAATGATCAAGGGGAGTTGGTGGGGAAAATCATGCTGTCAGACAGTTCTGCTCTTGTCACCTGAAAAGTGCTCTTGTCTTCAATAATAGACGAAACAGGTGTCAGGTAGTAGAAAAAAAATGAAATAAAAACAAATAAATAAAAAAGTGGGGAAACCAATACTGCACCAATGACATTGTTTTAATTTGAACCAAAATGTCCTTTTTTTTTTTTTTTTCCCAGAGTCCAATTTAAAGGTTCCTGTTTCTTCTCCTTCCTTATCCTCTTTCTTATCTCACAAAATAATGATATGGTTTGACGATGAACAATGAAGATGGGGAGAGCTAGGGAAATTTTTGTTCTAATTGTAGATAATTAGGAAAAAAAGAAAATATTTTTGCAGAAATCCCCTTAGCGCATTACACCCCTAACACTTTTCTGTATCTCTCTTACTGCCAATTTCTACACTATTTCCAAACCAAAATACGTAAATCCTTGGACAGAAACCATTCTTGGCAATATTGTAGAGAGACATCTGTGCATCAAATATAATTTTTTCAAAGCCAACGATATATACTACGTTTATATTTTTATTTTAAATAGTGTGTATTATATTTATTTCTCTGTGCATTCTAATGTACTGGTCACTTACTGTTTAAAATAAAATAAAAATGTGATATCTATTTTAAATACTAGTATCCACTAATAAAAATGTTTGATTAAAAATAAATCCATTAGTTATCTCTCTCTCTCTCTCTATATATATATATATATATATATATATTCATTATATATGTCAAATAGGCTGGAAAAGTATTGTGCCAAGAAAGTGATCAATACACAGTTCAGAAAACTGAACATGAAGATCGCATTAATATTTTAAAATGAAAACACTTTACCCTTCCGCACTGCCTTCGTTTCAACTGTGAGGTCTCATCAGGTCGTCAGGTAAAAGAATTGGGGCTGATTAATCTTTCTTTCCCATTCTCAATAGAGCCCAAAATTGTCTCCCCTGCCTTGTGGATGATGAATTATTTGCTACCCTACAACTCCTTTCACAAAGATGAAACATTGTGAGCCAAGCCTCTCATATCGCTTTTTACATGGAAAGTGTTCAGACAGCCTACATTCCTTAGTTCTACTGAGTGTGTCGTTGATCCAATACTGAGTAACATTCTTACCCCCACCCCCTATTTTAACATATAACTTGTTGACATCGTCATTTGTGCCTAGCTATTTATAATTGACCGTCATTGTCATTATTATCATCATCCTATTTATCCTGATACATTATTTACATTTGGACTATTTTCTTTATCTTTGTTGTTGTTACTAATCACAATGTTTTGACTATTGTGCCCTCCAGCTTTCATTAGGTGTATGTTGATTGAGGTAACCTACAGTGAATTCCAAACTGAATTCTTTATTTTAGTGGGTAGGCAGTTCTCATTCTACTACTCATGTCTAGTACTTCTTAGCCTGTTTCAGGGGAAACTCGGTAACTAAGCAATACTAAAAATAAGAACTAGACTAGATATCCATAGACATGTGCAATGAAATGAGAACAATCTACTGAAAAATTCCTGTAGGTTATGCTGATCAACATACACCTGAGGAAGGCCAAAGGGGACAACAGCTGAAACGTTATAACACCAACAAGAATGAGGTCAATAGTCCTTATGTAAATAGTGTAAATAATGACAATTCCTCACCCCAGAAATTATCATTACATCCATTATCTTTATTATTATTATGTTTTTCATTATTACCATCATTTTTATTACTGCTGTTATCAATATTATCGTAATTACTATTATTATCATTCGTATCATCATTATACTTATTAATATTACAAACATAGAAACTAGTCAGCTTGGGAAATTTGTCTGAAATTTATTTCAGATTTGACAAGCATAATTAAATTGTGGTCAGGACGATATTACAGAAGATGAAGTGTGCAAATAAATATTTTAATCTTGAAGTAAACAAAATGCAAAGGATGAGTTTTTCTTCTGAAAAGCAAAGTTTTGAATTTTCAGTTAGATCCTATTTCTCTCAAGTCTAACAGTTTTCTTGTAACAAAGCTATCTGGCCTGTGGCTTCTATTGTGTCTAAAGACATTGCACCTTGTGAGAGATTGTTCAAACTAACACAGACATGCCCAAATATGAATATTCTGTTGTGAAACAATGAAATTCAAAGGATTATTCTTGGAAGTAAGCAATGGGTAGAAAATAGCCAGTGGGTGAAAAGTATCAAACCAGTGGAATAAAGAATGTTTGTAGGAAGTTCCTTTTGGTTTTCTGATGCAATGTCTCGAATGTTGTTTCAGGTAAATGCAAATTGGTATAATTTGGTGAGTCATAAAATATGAATGAACTTAATTCAATTATAGGTTGCTTGTTTATTTCAAAATCAATCAACTGTTACTTTTTTTGGTAGTTCAGTGTCAAAAAATAAAAACAAGATATTAATATTGAAGTGAATAGAATAAATATATATAGTTACAAATCTTCAGCTATAATGTGTCCATTTCATACAAGGTCTTCTGTCCAGTGTGCTTATTACTATGCTCAGTTAGCCAATTTTTAAATTCAAGGTATTAATTTAAATTTTCATCTGTAGAACTCCCAATCATTATCTTGTAAACTCTAAAGGAACAATCAACCAGTTTCAAATTTACCTGAGAACCTTGATACTGGACACTTTTTTGATTTTAAATGTGCCTGAAATACGTAAGAGCGATCAGTGAGGAGAGAAAAAAATCAAGTATACCAAAGAAGATTTAAAGACTGTTGATCAAAAAATGGTTCTTAGAATGCAGAATCTCTAAAGAAGTAATGCCAGTTTAATATCTCAGTTGCTTTTCTTCTTTTTTTTTTTTTTTTTTTTGTAATAAACAGTCTCCCAGTGACTTTCCTGTCACCAAATGTTGCCTATTTACTTTTAGGGGGCATGTAGCAGGGAGTAGGTCCCTTTAGAAGTGTAGGTCCCATTTCACCTGATACCAGCTCTCATTTAGCCTGTCAAATGGTTGCTTGCATAATATCACATCTTATTGCCTATTTAAATAATAAACGAATTATTTTTGTAATATGGTATCTTATTGTCTATTTAAATAATAAACTAATTATTTTTGTAATATGGGATCTTATTGCCTATTTAAAAAATAAACTAATTATTTTTGTAATATGGGATCTTTTTAATTATTTAATGGTAAACAAATTTATTATTTTTGTAATATCAGATCTTACTTACTATTAAAATAATAAATTATGTTTATATTATAGACCCTTACTGGTTATCTTAATATTAAATTAATTATTTTTGTAATATAGGATCTTATTGGTTATTTAAATAATAAACTAATTATTTTTGTAACATGGGATCTTATTGGCTATTTAAATAATAGATTAATTTATTAGTTTTGTAACATGGGATCTTATTGGTTATTTAAGTAATAAATTAATTTATCATTGATGTAACATGAGCTCTTATTGGTTATTTAAATAATAAACTAATTTGTTTCATATTATTTGGACTATTATCTTGATCTTTGTGATTTATGATGGTATTTCAGCTCACATCGTTATTGGTGCTCAGTGAAACTATCAACTAACAAGTGTTAAAACAACAATGAAAACAATGTTTAGAATAATGAAAACACTTTGTTTCAGAACTCCAGGAAATAACTAATTTCCCTTTAAAGTACCTCCAAGAATTACTGTGAAAAGTAATTATCAATTTATTTAATTAAATTGAAGTTTTAATTAAAGGAAAATCATTAAGTACAAATTAAGAAGATCGATTCATCAATAGAAATGAATAAGCAGATAGGTTATAATAGAGAAAGGTAGACAGGTAAAGGAATAAGGAATAAAGACAGGTAAATAAGAGAGAAAGGCAGATCGGATAATGAGAAATAAAAGCAGATAAAACAATAGTACAGAAAGACAAGGAGATAAAGGAGAAGGGCAGATAAATTAATAAGAAAAGCAGGCAGATCAGATAATGAGAAAGAAAGACAGGTAAAATAATAGGAGAAAAGCAGACAGATAAGGGTGAAAGCAGATAAATAAAAAAGAAAGGCAGAGATAAGAGAGAAAAGTAGATTGAAACAATAAGTGAGAAAGACAGGCAGATGAAATAATGAGGAAGAAAAGCATAAAAAGCAATAAGAAAAAAAAACAGATAAGAGAGAAAGGCAGATGAAGTAATAGTGAAGAAAGGCAGATAAATAAAAGAGAAAGTTAGATGAAGCAATAAGAGAGAAAGGCATTTAGATGAAATAATAAGACAGGCAGGCAGATAAGAAAGAAAGGAAGATGAAATGATAAGAAAGGCAGGCAGATAAGACAGAAAGGCAGATGAAGTAATAAGAAAGACAGGCAGATGGAATGATAAGAAAGACAGGCAGATGGAATGATAAGAAAGACAGGCAGATGGAATGATAAGAAAGACAGGCAGATGGAATGATAAGAAAGACAGGCAGATAAGAAAGAAAGGCAGATGGAATGATAAGAAAGGCAGGCAGATAAGAAAGAAAGGCAGATGGAATGATAAGAAAGGCAGGCAGATAAGAAAGAAAGGCAGATGGAATGATAAGAAAGGCAGGCAGATAAGAAAGAAAGGCAGATGGAATGATAAGAAAGGCAGGCAGATAAGAAAGAAAGGCAGATGGAATGATAAGAAAGGCAGGCAGATAAAAATGACAAGAAAGGCAATTTAATAAGAGCAATGGAGACAAGGTAATAAAGAAGATAATAGCAGAATGGCAGGTAGATAAGAAAGAATAGCAAATGAGGTAACATGCAAGAAAGGCAAATTAGATAACAAGTGATAAAGTCTGGTAGATGAAATAAGAAAGGCTGGCAGATAAGGTAACAAGAGAAAGGTAGGTAGATAAAATAATAAGCAAGGTAGACAAATATGTTAAGGGCTATACACTTACAGATTCATCATTAAAAGATTTTGCTTCCCATTATTATGTTTTTGTTTTTTTTTTATTTCTATTTTCTTTGAGATATGTCAAACTCAGTTAAAAATAATAGCTGTGTAATGGATGGATTGATTAGCCTGACAAAAACAAATTAATACATCATTTGTAAATATGAGAAAGTCGTACTTGAACTTGCTCATTGTGCTTTTTTTATTTGTTAACACTACATTTCAGCCAATTCATTCTACAGCTTTCTTCAGGTGTACAATGCACACAGAAGAGGACCTTTTGAATAATAAGTGGTGGACAGGATAGGCAATGAAATTAAAAATGTGGGAACATTTTAATTAAATGTGTTTACATCTTTTAAAGGACAGTAGTTCCAATTCAGTCAGAAAAATGGTAAATAGAAATTTATTTTTGTAATAACTGGCAATATGAGGAAAGGTAAAAAAAATTATAAAAAATGAAAATGGGTTTTTGCATTCTTCAAAGACAAACTGATTTATTCTTTGGAAGCATATGATTGCTTCCATTCATTATCTCTGCAAAGATAAAGAAGTGAAAACACTTGCTGCTCGTCATTTTAATTTCATCTAAGAAGAACATGTATGCCGTTTCCTTTTGACTCTTTATTCTGGGAGCTGCTTGCAACTTGAAAGTGGTAGGGGGTTCCTTTCAAACCTTTTTTTTTTTTTTTTTTTCAACGTTTCCCCTTTTCTGTCTTTTGAGAGAGATATTAAAGAAGAGAAAATCGAGGAAGGTGAGAATTTGAACAAAAACAAAAAAATATAATTTTAAAAAAAATACAAGATAGAAAAAATAGCAAATAAGTTAAATCCTGTGAAGGATTTGGAAAAAAAAAACTTTCAATTGCACATGTTTAAATAGATTATCCGAAAATAATATCTTCCGTGTGGTTGTTCCAGAGTTTAAGTCGAGAAATAGTTTTCGATCATCATTTGATCATTGACTGCTTAAGCGAATAATTAATTTATTTGCTATTCGTTACATAACTTATTTATGCAAATTAACACTCTCATCACCATAGAAACCATTTTTTTAAATTCCATTTTCCCCAGATTAATAGACACATTTTATTTATTCCCTTCTTTATTTTAGTTTTCAAAAGGTAAGATACTCTAAAATTTATTAGAATCTTAATTACATTATTGATAGCAATTTTTTTTGTTTTTGTTTTTTACTTTAAGTTCTTTTGAAGTCAGTGGATATTATATTATCAGATGCTGCAGATTTATCATTTCTATCAAGGAACATTTTTCAATCTTAAGGATTTTTTGTTTTTAGAATTTACAGGTCTATTTTTAATGGCAAAATTTAGTTGCTCAAAACAATACTGTGTTGTGTTGATTAACACTATATATATTATTTATATATATATATATATATATATATATAGCCCTTTTCTATCAGTAGTGTTTGCTTTAATTCCTGACCACCACTGACAATCCCTTTCTTGTGTGTTTACAATCTATTTCTATAAAGAGTCCTGGGTATAATGATAAAGTAAATTCAGCAGCAAGACCTCTGATCAGGAGATTGGATGTTTTGAGGAGCAAGGAACTACCTCTTATGAGCTGTAACTCTCCGGTTCACTCTGGACTAGGGTGGTAGCATCTGTTAGGGTCACAGCTAAAAAAAACAGAACAGAACATTATGAAAGTATAAAGATAATTTTTATAGTAAAATGACCAACAATACATTTTGTAGAAGAATTACCAACAATATATTTTAGAGCAAAATGACTAACAATACATTTTATCTGTAGTTGAAGCCATAAAATTGTTTCTGAAATATTTAGATTTTGGCATTAAATAAACCATAGAGGTTGATATGATGCTAAACAGAATGAACACAACAACCAATAAAAAAATCACTATTTCATGACATTCATCCATATAGTGTCCTACAATTTTTTAAAGGAATTAAACTGTATTCCAAAATATAATGTTAAGTACCACATAAAACACACATATTACCACCTCTAGTAATTATGTCCATGCAAATATTAAATGACACATTAGGAGTTGATATGCCATTAAACAAATAATTTTTATAATTAAATCATTATCAATGCATTTACATTATAGATATAATAGGTCTATTCTATCAGTAATGTTTGCTTTAATTCCTGACCACTGACAATCCCTTTCTTCTGCATTTACAATATAAATCTATAATGAAACTATTAGCAATGCATTCACATTATAGATATTATAGATCTATTCTATCAGTAATGCTTACATTAATCCCTAACCACAGAAAATACCTTTCTTACTAAATTCCAATGCATTTCTATTGTAAAATCATTAGCAGTGCATTTACACTATATGTATAATAGCCCTATCCCATAAGTAACACTTGCATTAATTCTTGACCACTGACATACCTTTCTTACTGATTTTCAATGTATTTAAATTGTAAATATAATAGTCCTGTTCTGTCACTAACAGTTGCATTAATTTCTGACCATTGACAATCACTTCCTTCCTCATTTATCATTTATTTCTGTAGTAAAACCATTAGCAATGTATTTACATTATACACGCATAATAACCTTATCCTGACTTTAACACTTGCATTAATTCTTGATCACTGACAAACCTTTCTTCCTCGTTTACAGTGAAACAATAACAGATCTTTTTATAGCTGAAATATATCTGGAATAATGTTTTCAAAATAAAAATAAACTCCGTCAGTTTACTTCTCTGAAAATAACACAAAAGCAATGCATGCTATTTTGGATTTCAATACAAATCCCTCCCCTTTCTTGCCATCAACAGTTAGAAGAAAAACAAAGAACATTCTTGACCCTGTGACCCTTTTACAAAATTTGGTGATGTCCACCTATGTAATCAGTCAGGTACTTTATTTCCTATAACATTTTCAAGCTAAAGATATACACAATGGCTGACAAATACTGTCTTTTATCAAATAAATAACAAGGAGAAAGTAAGAAAGAAGTAAAAAAAAAAACACCTTTGAAATTAGTGAGGGGGGAAAATTTCAAAAATCAAATTATTAAATATAGAAGAATAAAGATTTACACCCAGTTAATTTTTGTGAAAAACAAAGTAAAATATAAGAGGCAGACCTCATAATAACCTGGCAAAAAGGTTTCAGCTGTTCCTGCTGATTTTGTTGTCATTGTCACCTATTATCCAGTTCACACTCCTCCCTTGTTTCCTGTTGAGAATTGCATTTCCAGTTCCTTCTAATTTCCAATATCTCTGCCTAAACTCTGAAATGTTATTTATTTATTTTATTTATTTTTTTTACCTCAACTGAAGTAGCTAGATTCACCTATGATTCAGGTCACATGCCTCCCCAGTCTCTTGAACAGGACTAGGGTGGATTTGTTTAATATATCCTATCCAGAATAGGTTGTATAAAGAGTTAGTATTAAAATCATTTCCAATGAATTCCTATAGATGTTTTTAGTATTTGCTTTGTCTCTCTACATGTAATCATTAGAGGGAATGAAAGTTTGGATGGATTTGTTTAATAAATCCTATCGAAAATAGGTTGTATAAAGAGTTAGTATTAAAATCATTTGCAATGAATTTCTATAGATGCTTTTAGTATTTGCTTTGTCTCTCTACATGTAATCATTAGAGGGAATGAAAGTTTGGATGGATTAGTTTAATAAATCCTATCGAAAATAGGTTGTATAAAGAGTATTAAAATCATTTGCAATGAATTTCTATAGATGCTTTTAGTATTTGCTTTGTCTCTCTACATGTAATTATTAGAGGAAATGAAAGTTTGGATGGATTAGTTTAATAAATCCTATCCAAAATAGGTTGTATAAAGAGTATTAAAATCATTTGCAATGAATTTCTATAGATGCTTTTAGTATTTGCTTTGTCTCTCTACATGTAATCATAAGAAGGAATGAACATTTTGATTTAGAATTGGATGCTGGAAAATTCTCAGCTCAACTCTCATACCAAAATTGATATTCTTAGATTTGGTTATTGAAATGCTGATTTTGGGAAGTGTGCCAGCCTAAGAACTTTTTGGCACTTTCATATACTGACTGAATAAATCCTACCAATTTTATCCCAGGCTTTACCTTGCATATGATATTTTTGTAACAACTTGTGATTTATTTTCTACAGATATATTAATCTTAAGTTTAATCTTAAATCTGCTTTGGACTTATGGTCTCTTGTGTAATTTTTATAGCGTTTATCAAAAAGACATATTTTTGAAGTGTTCTTTGTTTCCAATGATAGAATTGACTTTGGTCAGATGTCACAGATACTTAGCGCCATTTAAAGCCAAAGATAATGCTTAAAAGGGAAGAAATAGCTGCAACAGCTCTCTTGTGTCTTCTTGGTGTTTTATTTTCAGCACCTGCCATCAGTTATACACACGCATCCTTTAAAATCCAAAAATGTCGTTTGCTCAATCCGAATAAAAGATTAACTTCTTGTCTGCCAAAAGGAGAAACAAAGGCAAGAAATTTTATGATGGGACACCTTTTGGAAATCTGTGGAATAATCTTTGGAAATTTTGTCAGGAATCCTTCACCCAGCTGACTAACTCTCCCCCAACCTTGAAACAATAGAAAGCCTTCAAAATCATGTCTGCTTGACAACCAGCACTACTGCAACCATCATCTAATCGGAGATCATTGGTGAAACACCCTACACAGCCACTATCCTTTGTCATGCACGCAAAATGTGACTGGTACTTGCTTTGGTGACAAAACCCCAGTCCTGATACAAAACAGAGTTTGAAAGACAAGAATACATGAAACAGAATTTCTTCAGTGAAATTGAGCCGTTTTATCACGCGGCAAAAGTGCTATTCTTTTCTTTCTTTCTACTTTTTCTTTTCTTTCTT